AAGAGGTGTCAAAAAACAGTATTCTGCCACAGGCAGCAAACCTACAGTCACCTATCATAAGGTGAAGTTTGCTGCATTTTATATGAAACTATGGCGTTCAAAGAGGATGTCTTCCATTTGGCAAGCTAGGGATCCCTAGCTACTGTTTACCTTATCCCTCTTCCAGTGAGAAGGCACAGGCTGAAAGCATTAAACTTGGTCTTTTCTTGGGTAGCCAGGTTAGGAAGATTTGAGTCAATTAAAGGAGTTCCTGGACAACATTTTAATTTAGCCTCACAAGAAAACAACATTGTAGGGCTTAAACCGAAGGTCTCTTCTCTACTGAGCAGATGACTTTTTTCCATAGCAAAGACATATCTGCTATTGTGTAAACTTACTTTTGTTAAGACACAAACTAATAGAACTGACGCACCGCGCCAAGGAAACTTGAGCAGACAGCCTTGGCGGCAGTACATTCTCTGTGGTGAACCAGTGTAAGAAATACAAAAGCTTTTAATGAAATAAGTTGTACGCAAAGTTAATAGCTTTCATTTCGCTACAGCATTGCAGAAGGAAACAATCAGTTCTCCTAAGGACTGCTCCAAGTTATAAACTGGCGAAGGCCCTGCGGATTTCAGAGATAACAGTCCCTCCTGGTTTTGTCCTCTCAAGTAACTGGCGATCAATCAATGCAGCAAATTAAAGCTTGATTTAGTTGGACAGGCTAACAGAAACAGGATATGATACAATACCTTTAAAAATCTCTTTGACAGCCAGAAGACAACTGTTTATGCTTTGTATATCAGCCCCAGTTTCACTGACCTTTATTGCAGCTACAGAGTTACAAATGTTGGAGGGCAGTAGTTCCAGTTACACAAAGCTCCATCGCTTTGCGACTGAGTTTTTCTTCTCACAGAAGAGAGCCATACGTGCTTCACTGCTGATACAGCCATGAAACGTGCCCTTCCGTGCCCAGCTGTATTTGCTTACACTTCACCCCAAATACTTTTGTCCAAACTCTTTCAGACCGCTGCATAGTTTGGGAGTGTGTATATGTGTGTGTTTGCATGCAGCAATGGCACTAGAAATATGGGGAAAGGTAGACAGATTTGACAACTATTTCACAAACTTACACTTGCCTGGACAAGACATCCGAGCTTTAAAACAATGTGAAGGGCCAAATCATTGTCCTGGTGTGTGAAATACAGTCCTCTCCTTTGGCCTTTGGAGATCTGATATCCTAGGCTCCTTACACCTTAAATGTTTCCCTCTCCCCATTTATGTTTGAGATATTATAATAAGTAATTAAGTAACTTCTTTTTAGCATGTATTTGCCAGGTTAGGGTTTTATAGCACACACACTGTTACTAGCTTTATAGAGTTTCTAGAAAATTAGAGTTGTTTCAAAATAAAGGCTAACAACAAAAAAGACATTATTTTCTGAATACGTGAAGCCGTTAGTCATTTGGGATGCTGATTCAAACTGTATTAATTTAGATTATTATACTGTTAAGACAATTTAAAGTTTTACACCATGTTAATATAGTCATGAATATAAATGCCCTGCAAGTATTAAATTCTGAAGAACCTGGATACATTCCTGGGAAAGGAGCCCACTACCTAGAAGCCAGCCAAGTATCCTTTGATAATAACTACAGCAAGGTGGCACAGTGACAGACCTTGTCTCTTCATCTTTTTCTCTATTGCTTTCTCTATCACTGCCAGTATGTGCTGCTAACACTTGTCTACCACATTTTGATTTTCAGACTGCTGGCAACATGAAAACAAGCTCCATGCAAGCTTTTGGGAGCAGAAAATGGAGAAGGAAAAAGAATAATGCAGAACATCCAGCCAACCTAAGCATGGAGGAGGTTTTGTCCAGGTGAAGACCCAAGTAATCAAGACACAGTCCAAGCCCCCATCCTTGCTTCTGCATGGAGTCACTATCTAGTTGTTTTTCAACCAAGTTTTATAGCCATTTTCCCATCCTAATGACTTCTACAGAACACAAATTTACAGGACAGCAGGAGTCAGTAGCCTTAGTTCAGTTCTCTCTGCATTAGGGCACGCAACAGAAGACATGAAGTCAAAAGACACATGTCAGAAGTCCTGCAAGCTTGTGGCAGGAGCACAGCAGACTAAAGAGGCATTCAAAACCACCCCCTCACATTGCATCTTTTCATTATGGCTTATCAGGATTCAAAGCTAGTACTCTCCAAGGCAAATACCTGATCCTAAACACAGGTGCTGCAGAACTAGAAGCAGCCACAGCAGGCTGAGCAAGTAGCAATAACTATATGCGCCCCTAACACCTCCAACCTAAAGAAGTCATGCTGACCTGTTGCTTTGGAAAACAGACTAGCAACTGTATCTAAATAAGCCTAAATAGCACAACGGTAATTAAGAGAGCACCAACAACATACACATACTTAAGCACTCATACGCTCTAATTAATGGAAGCATTGATATTGATGTAAGTACTTTCCTATCCCCATACAAGAGCACTTCAGAAATAAGAGCTGAGGAGAGCAAAAGATTTGCAGCCTTTCCACTGAATTTAACTGTTTGTACTTCCATCCAGGAGCCTGTATTATTCACATTTCAGCCTGAGGAACAAAAGCACCAGCGTAGTTTGAAGAGCAGAACCCCCAGTTAAGAACAGTGGCACAGCTTCTGTCTGCTCTTCACTGAGATTTAAACTACTTTCTCCAAGATTATCTTATCAAACCTTTGAGCATCTGTGCTACATAGATAACTGGGATCTGAAATCCAAGAGAGAACCGGATGGCAGGGATCCTGCTGTGTGTCAGCTCTGTCAGCAGCAGGACATTGCTGCTCAAGGCCAGGCAGGGAAAGGACACAGGCTTGTCATCAGTAATCCGAGTCTGCAGTGCAGCCATGTGCTACCAGCTTTTGGTCATTTTACTACTCTCAACGCAGTAAGGAAGATCTAGAATCTTAAGCAATTTCCATTCACCCTGCATTTAAGATGATGGCAAGCATGAAACACTACTTCAAGTAAAAACTCTGGACTGTTTGGTTTTTTTTCGTTCTACACATATTCTCCACTTCCTCTCCTCTTTCTCACTTGTTTGAGGGGCTGGGGGGAGAGAGAGGGAAGGTGAAAGTATAACAGTAGCCACAGCACTAAGAAAAAAATTCCTCCCCCAACTCTGTATCAAATCATTCTACCTTCCTCTCACACCTGTTTTGCCCAATTAAACCAGAAGACCTTGCAGCTGACTGCTACCACCTGGATTTTATGACCCACAACTAAGCAGGGCTATTTTCAGTTTACTTTAAATATTAACTTTACCACTATTCTAACAGAACCTGAGAAAAGGCTCCTAACAGCAACAGTCTCATGCTTTTATATACTTCGGATTAAGCAGAGCTATTTTGTACATTTTCTCAGCGTGGAACAAGCACAATCACTGCTCTAGACAAGCTGTTGGATAAGACCCTCTAGTGTCAGAAGAGTCTATAAAAGTACTCATTTTATTGCAAGAGTGAAGTCAAAGGGCGATCACAGCGTTGAGACTGGAGGAGCCTCTTTTTTCTCACCTCCTGCCAGTTCTGTGTCCAGCTCAGGATGACCCCTTTGCTAGGGAAGGTACCTCACTTTAATTCTCTGCCTCTGCAGCCCCATCATTAGTTTGCTCAACAGTACAAGCTCAAGCAGCTCAGTGCCTTATCCTTCCAAATAACGAACACCTCCACGCATGGAGGCTCCCCAGCCTCTCTTGGGTCCTGTTTCAGTATTTGATCCTCTTCACGATGAAGAGATTTTCCTGACTGGAATTCTCCCTGAAGGAACTTGTGCCTGGTGCTCCTTTAAGGGCCTTGATGTCCACAAAAAGGAAACACAAATCTGCCAAAAGAACCCAGAAGCTAAGAACCTAAGACAACCCTACAGACATAGACCTAGTTGGAAACGACGATCATTGTATTGATGTTCTTTCTGTATAAACCAGTAACCTCAAAAACTTTTAGCAACTGAAAAGAAGCTGCACAGACAGTAAACTTGGTTCAGCAGCAGCTTCGCTTTCCCCCCGTTCACCGCTGCAGCCCTCAACCACAGCTCCTTCGGTCTGCCCCTGCTTTCCCTACAGTAGCCGCCCTCCTCCTCTCACCTCCACCCCCTCCTGTCTCTCTCCCTCCCAAACCCCACCAAACCGCAGTTACCCTTCTCTGTCCATCATCCCCTTCCCTCTTTCCCATCCCCTCTCGGTAGAAGAGGGGACCCCAGCGACCTCGTTTGGAAGGGCTGGGGTGATTCCCCCGGTGTTGCGGGAAGGCAGCGCGGAGGAGCCGCCCGAGGCGTCACAGAATTGTCTGGGGGGGAACGGACCTTTAAGATCCGCTCGTCCTCCCCCGCTCCGTTCCAGAGAAGGGGTTCCCCACCTGGTCCGTCCCCCCCTACCTCCACCGCCTCCCTGCCCGCCTCGTCCCCCCCTCGCCGGCTCCCAGCCCAGCGCCACCACCCCGCTCCCGCTTTCCCACGGCCCGGAGCGCGCCTGGCGCACCCGCCCGGCCCCGCATCTCCCGGGGCTGGGGAACCGCTTCCTCGAGGGCAACGGCCTCGCAGCAGCATCTCCGCTTCTTCCGTCCCCTCCCTCCGCCTCAAACCCAAACTCTCCCCTCAGGACCCCCCGTGGGGGGCCCACGCCACGTCGCCGGAGCCGCGCGGGGGCCCGCGGGCGGAACGCCGCCGCGCAGCAACCCCGCGGCCCCGGCGGCCGCTTGTTCCGCTGCCAAACGTCGGCGCGGGCACCCAAAAAGTAACGGGTTTAACTTCTGACTTGTCTTTGAGGCGCACCCGGGCGCCGCCACCCGCGGCCGCCTCCCGCTCCGCGGGCGCGGAAAAGCGCGGCGGAGAGCGGCCCCCGGAGCCGCCGCCCCAGCGAATCCCCTCGAGTGAGGGGCAGCGGCGGGGGCACCCCCCGGGCAGGGGCAGGCGCAGCCACAGCCGCTCAGCGCGGCCGCGCAAGTTGGGCGGAGGGCAGCTCCGCGGCACTCACCCGCCTCACCGGGAGGGAGCTTCCCACCGCCGCCAGCAGCAGGAGAGCGAAGCCGAGGTGCGGCGCCGCCGGCGGGGAGAAGGGCATGTCCGGGGCGGCCCCCCATGCGCGGGGGCCCGGCGAGGCTCCGGCTCCCGCTCCCCGCGGAGGCTCCGCGGCGGGGGACGGCAGCGCGGCTGCGGGGGCTCGGGCGGCCCCTTTTGTAGCGGTGGCGGCGAGAGGAGGCGGGGACGGGGCCGGCCCAGGTACGGCGCGGCCCGGCCCGGCGGGGGTGGGGAGCCGCCGCGGCGGGGGGCGGGCTGGTGGCCGGTGTCGTCAGCGCCAAGGGCTGCTTCGGGGAGGGGAATTAAAAAAGAAAAGAAAAAAAAAAACCACAACCGAGAAAACGGATTTGCGAGCCGGTCCCCCACCTCTTCAACTTCTTTTTTTTTTTTTTTTTTAATTATCTGACTTTGTCCAGATGCTTAGGCATCTTGGTGGCCTTCATGCTGTTCGTGACGTCCAGATTTTATTAGTTTTTAATAAGAGTAAATGCAATTACCCATTTATAACACGAAATTTGCAGAGCTGCACGTCAGATCGGAGCTTGGTTTCCAAGTTGAAGTCGGGGCACAGGTCAGTCCTAGTAGTATGATGTATAAATTCGGTGGATGTAGAATACTTACTCGCCTAGCAAAAGAAGTCTCTGAATCTGCTTTGTACTAGATTTATATTATCATCCTTATTTATTCACCATGTACCGACTAGTAAAACTAAACCTTCACTAAATCACATATATTTGGTGAGATTATACACCAGAATCTGGAACAAGAAGGCATAGAGAACCCAACAGGTTTTGAAGTGAAAGTTCAGAATTGAGCTGGAAACTGGGGAAAAGATTTCACATTGGTTTGTTAGATGCTACTGGAATATAAAGAAGGTAATAGCTTAAATATTAATGATGTATATTAATTTCAAATATACCACAGATCAGGCTGATGTTTTGGGAACGTAACTAGTCGGAGCATCGATGCTGTGACATCATAAAATCATTAAATTCTGCAGCGTGTGAACTGCCACAACAGCAGTTACGTCTCAGCAGCTAACTCCAGGCAGAAAGATTTTGCTATGGTGGGTTGGTTGACCAAAGGCTAAAAAGATATTTTCTTCCACTTCTCTAAAGTAAGAGAAAACAAAGATTGAAGGAAAAAGAAATTACTCCCAGCAGAAGAGAAGGAATATACATTTTTGGGTTGTTAAAAGAGATGATCCCCAAACACCCCAAGTTAGTTGAAACCCCTAATGTCTGCCTCAAAGGATATTTTTTATGTTGCACATTAAGATTAATTTTTTTACTATCCCAGTAAAATATTTTGTTCGTATAGAATAAGTATGTCTGCTACAGACATTGCTGAAGACTTAGGGAACAATGAGAAAGAATGAAGAATAAAGATGTAATTGAAAAAGCATGTTCACCCACAGGAATGTCACCTGTGGGTGGAGCAATGAAAAGACTCTGTGATTTTTAAAGAAATCAGTGATCCCTTGGATTTAAAAGATTTAAACCCATACCTAATATTTGCCTCAAAGGGATGAAGATAATGAGACAGGGAAAAGCCTGCTTATTTTACCTGAATCTGTATTCTTTTGTGCATATGGGCTAAGACAAACTACACTTAGATATAAGAAACTTCTGTAAAAAGCTACTTTCCTGTTACCTGCAGTTATCACATGTCCTTGGAGGAAGCAACCAGAGAGCATCCGCAATGCCAGCCTGCTGAGTAATGTGACTAGGAAAACTAACAATTGGCTTTTAACTATTTTATGTGGTTTGACTCCCCTGAAAAGCTATGAGAGGACGGGGCCCAAGCCTGGTTACACCTCACAGGAATGTTTTACTTGAAGCCCAACACCCCATCCCATTTGGAAGTGCCTATGGGCTGGCCTTACTTTGCAGCTCCTGAAGACCATGTATGTAACATCTGCTTTCAATAAACCAACAAAAACAACAGGCAACTGAGCGAAATATTCTCCAGCTTCCTGCAGGCCAGGCAAAGGAAACCTTTAAATAAAGGAAAAGAAAGCTCTTCCACCTGTATAAAGCTCTTCCACCAGCCTTAGCAGGGTGCACCTACTTCACATGCAAATCTCTTCTCCTTTCTATTGTTTCTGCACTAGGCATTTTAATTATGTTTTCTAGATAGAACTTCTGCTCCCAGCACCTGTGTGCAGCAGAGGGCCAGCTGCTTTCACAGGATCTTTATAGGCTCGTGTTCCCATTGAAGAACCTTATAAGGGCTATGAGGGTGACATATATTGCTGTGGAAGCAGAGGTATTGCTTTGGAATAATTCTGCTTTCCAGAAACAATCGAAGGTAACTTTTTCAGTATGATGATGTCATACACTAGTGTTATCTGCATGAACGTTTTTGGACGGAAAAAAATAATGGATCAGAGTAAACTCCAAACATGCACATTTTCATTGTGTGCATCAAGAAGCTATTACCAAATTTCAGAATACTGAACAAATCCTCTTGACTTAAATCACTGTAAGAGAGGTATTTTTCCTAGAGATATAAAGGTATTTGTCCAATAAATTAAAATCTTTTTGGAGGGAAATACCAATGAAAGTTGTCTCTACAACTTGGTCTTTTATCAGTGTTAATGTAAGAAAATAGCAGTTTGAAAATAGACAAGTGAAGCATTAAAATGACACTATCCAAATTTGACAGGAGTTGGGGTCTTTTCAGTTTGAAAAAAGCAGCGCAATGAGTTGAGGAAACTTTGTTCAACTTAAGAATTTTGTTTGTTGAGGTAAATAGCTCTTGTTCCTACTCCTACTAAGGAGAAGCTACCTTGCAGTTACACTGCAACACGGGGATCATTGTACTCCTATGACCAGTGAGCATTATTAATGCATTTTACTATATTTTGAGGGCAAAAGTGCAGTTTGAAAAAGCTCAGTGTCTCTTTTAGTAACCTCCCCTGATAATCCTTTTCTGCAGAAACAGCGTAACCAACCAGTGGCTGGCCACGGGAGGTTCCCGTGGGTGCGAGAAAAAGCCTTTGCAAGGGTTGGGGTTCTCTGCTGCCTGGAAACGCTATCACCACCAGCCTCCTGTATGCAGAAAGTAACATCCCTGTCCCACATGAGACTGAATGCTTTGTCTCTGAAGCTTTCTGAAGAGAAAAATCAGTTTTATGGAGAAACTACATGTTTCTGCTCTGACATTTGCTGAGTAACAGAGATTTTCCTATGCTGCCTTATGCAGTACCTTGAAGAATGTTATCAGTTTGCAGTGCAAGTTACACGCTTTGTGCTTCTCCATGACCAGTAATTATTCATTTTTATAAACATTGTCTTTTATAATATAAGTTTGTTTATTGGGTAACAATTCTTGGAAACAACTGTAGTGCAAATGGATTTAAACTCTCCGAAGGAGCTGCTGCCCTGTACAGGGGCTGTGTGAGAGTTGCCCGTGTGCCTGAAAGGCTGTTCGCTCTTCTGTTTTGTAACCATAGTGTGCCGCAGCACTGAATACACTTTGGCTCATTTTTTTTTTCTTTACAAGGCCAGGAGGAACTGTCAGTAAAGATCTTTCCAAGCTCAATAAAAGTTAAAGTGTCTGACCTGAGTACCAGCACCTATGAAGTTATTCAAATATATCACTTAGAAATTTGAAATACGTGTTTAGGAAATGAAGCAGAAGAATTTTAGTGTTGAATCATTGAATGTGGATGGTGTTTGTGGAATTTTAATTCACATAGATACCTACTTAACTGAAATAAAAATTCAGCTAAGATAAATCCTTCTGTAGACCTCCTGGAAAAAAAAAACCCACAATGTAGTTCTGAGCAGTATTACACAAATGACTGTTACAAACACATAAGATACAACTGTGATTACAAGCATATTGGTGTTTAGAAGGAAGGTCATCTTGTCTTGGAGCTATATATACTTCAATATCTTTGGAGAAATTAAATCATCTGAATTGTACCTTGAAACCTGGACTTTGGGAAGTGGGTTATTTAAACATTACAGAAACATTCAAAATTATCTTACAGTATTCTGTATCAGAACAAGGCTACAGCAAATGTTGTCTATATGACAGATATGAGAGATCAATGTACAAAACTTTTAAAAACGTAGTGCAGTAGGAAGCAGAAGAGTTTCTTTTGGTTACAAAGTTGTTGAAGGATTCATATGGCCCTGTGCTGAGTAATTTGTGAATCTGACCCAGACATTCCTATATTTAAAAATCTTAGAAGTATAGAAATGTAAAGGTTATTTGCAGTACTGTAATAGGAAACACTTTTATTACAGTTCAAATTTCTTACCACAACGTCCGACTCCTGATTCAAATTTCTTGATTAAAAATCTCCTGTTTAAGAATGCTTTGTTAAGAATTGTATTTTGGACTATAGAAAGCTGCTAGACTGAACAAAATGAAAAGATGCCTGCACAAAGGAAACGATGGTAAGAAATGCTCTGTAAAGCATTCATTTTCTCTCCTCGTTTTTCACAAGAATAAAGTAGGAAGCTATGAATCACAGAACAAAGAAAGAGTAAAGTCAAATTATTATTTATTAAGTAAAATTGACAGAAATATTACTCTCCTCTATCCCTCTTCTGTAGTGGTAGCTTTTTATGTGAAGAAATTATTTGGACATCACTCTATTCAATATCTTCTCACCAAGAGAAACCTTGATAACAGAAAACTTCCCTGTACAGTTTGATATATAGCTTGTGCAATGATGATAATGCTGGTCTTTTCCAAAGAAACAGAGATGATTTCTGTCTACCGTGCTGCTAGATGCCGAGTAGGTAGGACCCGGATTCCCTCAGTAAAAGGCTTCCCAAATGCTGAGACAAGCATTTAGTAGCTTGTCTCAGCATCTGATGGGTTTTTGAGAAATATATCCTTTGAATATCCTTTGTCCCTCACAAGATGTGTCTCTTTGAGAAAGAGGTGATATAGTCTAGCATTTTGGATCAAAAAATATTCCCTGGATAAATGAGTGAGATGGGCAACCTGTTTCTCATCTGCTATCACGGCTACAGGGAGAGAGAGGGGTACTGTTTGGATTAAATCCTGTAGATCATAAATATGTAAAATAAATCCTTTCCATTTACATTTGTGTGGCCA